GCTCTTTCAACCTGAATAGTACTGGATATGAATATTAGGAAGACATTACCCCCCGTAAAAATAATGAAAACATACTAAAAATCCAGAAGGGAGCAAGCCTCAGAGTTTTTTGTTATCTCCCAAGTCAGAATTTTTGAATATATTCTGAGGAATGAAAATATATCACTTACAATACCTCTTTTGTCATCATAGATAACAAAAAGTTGACTCATTTGAAATACCCATTTCATAAAGGACCACTAAGTATTTGTTTCCTTCTTGAAAAATTACATTTCACATGATCATCCTGGCAGAAACAATGAGAAATTCTTTGATATGTTGTCAGCTTTAGTCTTCAGTGTGGAAAGAGAAAACCACATTCGGGAGCAAACCTGACTTTTTAATTTAAAATAGAAACATTCATTTAGAATAGGTGGATGAATTAAACTGTGTATGTCAGGTAACTGAAAAGGGGAAAAAAAAAATAGGTGAGAAAATTATTTTCAGAAGCCAAACAGCAAAGCAATCCACAGCATGTTATTGGAAAAGAGAAGCCTGTATTTTAATTGTGCAGTTAGTGGAAAATGCTTATTATCACAGTATCACAAGGCCATATATTAGTCATACAGAAAAGCTGAGAAAATTGAGAGAAGTGAAAATTACCCCACTACATTTTGTTCCACAGGATGTTTCTTCTTCTGCTTTGTGTAGTTTGATAGCAGAGAAACCATGAGTAATGTCACCATTCCAAGCCCTGATGGTGAATATTTTCATGGACCTTCCACGGTACTAATGGGGCACTGATGGAGCTTATGGAAATTGATTTAAGCTCACCATAGCATCAGACGGGCACTGTCTGATTACTCAGGATGCATTTTAGAAGCCTTCTTGACAATTAAAATGAAAGCTGAAATCCTGGAAAGGAAAAGGAGACCCACAGCATGAAAAAAAGGTACTAAATGTTGCTTGATAGCAGTGTGATTAAAGCATTCACCTGGAGAATAAGAGAATCAGTGAATGCAGTATATAAAACAAACATTAGAGGCTTCAAGTCAGGTCATCTGCCCACCAAGAGAAAAGCATAGTAACAAATTTTCAAGTTACATCCAAGCTAACTGGTCCCCCAAATACTTCATCCTGTGGACCCAGAATCAAAGTGATCAAGTTATCACTATTCAACTGAGTTGCAATTCATATTCCTGAACATATTCATACCCCAAACAAAAACATTTAATTTAAACTACTTCCATTGTGCATATAACCCTCATGGAGTTTTTTAGTGCTGTTTTGTTTTTGTTTTTCTTTATAATGTTGCAATTCTTCTACCCTGAGAACATGGGCCTATCAGTTAACATGCTCAACTGGTGCCATGTCTCATACTAAGCTTTTGTAAGTGTTGCTTTGATTTTAACTCTCATGGAAGAGAATACAGTCCGATTCTATGATGAGGATGCTCTAAGGACCCTTACAGGCATGTTCAGTTTCCCCGGTTGTCTTCAGAATTTAAAAATCTCTGCTCTTCCAGTGGAAAATAATGTTAACCTTGGCAACAACAGAGGCCCAGGAAACATTACAGGTTACACTGCTTTCTGGTTCACTTGATAGATAATTTATCAGTGCAGCAAATATAATCTCATCAGTCTGAAGCAGGAAAAAGCTTAAAGTATCTACCAGGCACAACAGAAACTATGCTAAAAAAGATCCTAACTTCTAATATGCAACAAACATTTCACTCTTAAGTTCCAAAGTATGAGATTCACCTCTTCTAACTGAGGGAACTATTTTCACACCTAAATGTAGTTCTCTGACACCATTTAGGAAGCCCTAGGGCACACTGTTCAGCCTCTGGTTCTCGCTCCAGGGGGTCACAGCTCTTCTACAATCCTGTGTCTGACTGGTCACTCCAAGCTCTTTTTGTAGTTAATGGAGAGAAAGGCAGCTTCAGAGTATGATTTATTTGGCACACCTTAAATTTCTGTTTTAAGATTAAATTAATCATCCTGCAGAGGTAGTTCTTTCTCTCCATCAGTGACAAAGGGAGCCTGGAGTGTCTGTCTGAGACCATAATCTCTAGATTTGGGACACACAAACCAGAGCAGATGAATTCCACCCACTCTGTCTCCCGTGTCTGACCTGGAGGGGAAAACAAAGATATCCAACAGGCAATAACTTCCCACTAGCAATGAAGTGATCATTCCTGGCATTAGCTTCAGTGTCCGAAAGCTCCTGTACCAAAATCTTATTCATTGGCCTATTCTTTTAAAGCGTTAATGGCATTCAGTCCAATACTTAGCTCCCTGCCTGGCCTGAGCCTCACACTAAGCACAGATTGCAAGGGGGATGGAGATAGGAATAGTACTGTATTATTTTCACATGAGCCTCTTGCTCTGGTGGCTGGTTATGAATCATTTCACATCCCAAGACAACATAAATCCCCAGTACCTCAGTGTAACACTTCATCTCCATTAGAAAGTTAAACAGAGAGCTCAGCTCATGATTGTCATGTAGCAACTACCATCACTGTCCTTAATAACTGAAAAGAAGTAGAGATATAAGATATAGAACAACCCTTGCTCCTTCCTGCAGAGCCAAGCCAACTACTGTGATGTTGGCAGGCATTCTGTCCTTGACTTTCAAGGGCATTGACCAATCTTTTGTGCTTTACTTGAAAGCTGACAGTCTTACCATTCATCAATCTCTAGGAAATATGGTGCTAATTTTCCTGGCAATTTTTTTCTCAAATGTGAGTAGAGGATTTCCTGGCTTAGCTAAATTCCAGAGTGCTTTCAGGAAAACAATAGATCTTGATTTAAAAGTGGTTAGAGAAAAAGCACGTACCTCATTTCCCCCAGTAAATTGTTTTCCTGCTTGCTGTCACTGTTGAAAATGCATACTTATGTCTAGCCTGACCTTGCCTTGAGTCCTTGCCCAGTGACTGGGTATTTTCTTGTCTGCTATCCTGAAAAAGTCTGTGCCATCCACTGGTTGCAGTGTAGCTGTAGCTGACTCTGCGGGCAGGTGCACAGTGAAATCCTGCTGCCCTGAACAGCAGGACAGACCCAGCTGTGTGCTTTCCAGATGTGCTGCATTATCCATTTTCAGGCTGCCAGTGTTGTGCCGCCAATAACACCGTATGAGAACCTTGCTTTCTTTTTGTAAGACAAATAAAAGCTCAATTATCCTCAGCTCATTGCTGACCCTCATGGAAGAGCAAGGATAAAAGCATCTTGATTGCTTCCCCAATTACAGGTTATTACAATTTCATGTTGGTTTAGGCAATTCACTTCAGCTTCAAGTGTCTCATCCCGTTGTGACATTTAGAAATCTGTGAGTGTGACTCCACTACAGCACCTCTGCAGCAAACTGTTTAAGGGGAGGGATATTTTTGGCATCAAAATTCAACAGGGGGATAGAGGAGCTGCTACACTTCACTTGGTAATTTTACACCAACCTCAAACCCCTGAGAAATGTGTTTTACTATTTCCCTTTTCTCTTTTGTGATATGGAGAGGTCATGCAGAGTTTTTTCCTGGTTAACATGATCCCTCTTTACTAGGAGGGGCTGGACAGGTACAGGACAAACTTTTAGGGAGTAAAATTTACACCAGCAAATGGTCTGTGTGCTTGTGTTGTGAAGGCTGTCTGCAAAATGGTTTTACTCTGGGTGAATGAGAAATGCTCACACTTGGAACCAAACATACAGATTATTTCTCTCATTTCCTTGGATATGAGTCTCAAAGGTCTAATACATTGCTCATGGTGATATAAAGCCAGATGAGATTACTTGACTTTTGACATGTACAGAAAGTTGGATGCTTGCTCCTTTTTCGTAGCGTTGATGCAACATGGGGGAACTCCAGTTAAAATAAGAGACAGAACATGTAAAATTGATCATGCAGCACCTTTCCAAGCACAAGGCTTTGCCTGCCTGCAGAACCCATTTCCATAAGTTGTATAAACGAGGTTAAGAACTTAGGTAGGTTGGAAAGTTGAGCTTTTATTTAGAACAGAAGAATCCCTCAGACTGTTTTAACGATGACCACAAAGTTCTCAAGCTTCTTGACATGTGTTTATGACTGTGAACCAACTAATTTTATGATTATCTGCTTCCGAGGTTCATTGGTTTTTCCCTGAAGTTGCTGCTTTGTTGTCAGAAATAATACATGATGAACCAATGATCTGCTCAAGCCTGTGAATTCCTGGTCGAGGAAAGCAAATTATATTGATTTCATTAGAATGAGTTGTCTGAATCATGATTAGATTTACAGACGGAAATTGTGAAATTGTGATTTAAGCATGAAGGTAAAATATATCTTACCAGGAGAAAAAACTTCATCTGCATCCTTAAAACATGAAAAGAAGCCTAGCTTATGGAAAGAAGAATGATGGAATAGTAAGCACATAATAGGGAGATTCAGGAGATCTGGGTTCTTGTCCTGCCCTAAATGGATTTGGATGAAACTCAGTTAAGGCATATATTGAGCTTTCATTCTGGATCTATTTTGGAGGGCTTCCATGCCAAACATCTTATTGTTTTCTTCATCTGGAGGTCCACATCCCCAGCATCTACCTACCACAAAAACGAATGGCTAAGATATGTTGTCAGAACCCTCTAGCAATAACGCACTGTTGGAGGGTGACAGTACATCTTAATTGCTGCTGTCATTTACAAAGAGATAATAAATTTAATCTGTTGATGTTCTGATGCTCAGAAAAACTGGTGGCATGTATGGTTTAAGGCAATGTTTTGCACGGGTTTTGCTGGGTCCATGCTCAGTCCTTTACCACAGCTCACCTGAAAAGTGGTAATTCTTTATTTTCAGGTAGCTCAATTGCTTTAGGCTATGTGACCTTATCCCTCAGACAGGTACTTCTACTGATGTAAATGGCTATAGATTCCCACTGGAAGAAACTATTCTGAAATTAATTTTTCTTCCTGCTGTCTCCCTACTGTAAATGGACCAGCCTGTACGAGACAGAGATCTGCTGACTAAACTGAATGCTCTTGCTTCCCCCTCCCAGTTATCACGCTGTGCTGTATCTTCAAGTGCCGGATTCCCCGGACAAGGAAAGAGATTGAGGCACGATATGCTCAACGGCAAGCAGCCAAGACATATGCAGACAAACTGGAGACTGTGCCACCGCTCAATGAGCTGACAGAGATCCCTGGAGGTACTTCCCATACCCACACCTACACGAGACCCATCTCTTCTTTTGGGGTTGCTTTCTGTATGCATGAATGCAAAGGGCTAGGTCCTCCCTTAGTGTAAATCAGAGTGGATCCTTGGTCACAATCATTAAGATATTGCCATGACTTGGTAACCCCCTCCCATTCACATGCACTAAATCTGCAACACTTGTGGCAGCAGCCACAGTCATTTCAATGAAATGGACAGTTTCTCCATTGGTACAAGTCCCGGTCATTCTTTTGAAGTTCATGTTTAAAATTTCCAGAGGGTGTGATTCATTTTAAGGGCCAGTTTCTGGGTTGGGGGATGTCGGTAGGAAGAAAAAGAGTTGTCAGAGTTTCACATTACTCATGAATGGCTTGCCCTATTTGGAATGGCAGAAGTATTTCTGTCACTGATCTCCATTGCTCTCACTCATCTTTCCTGATTCTGTACCTAGGCTCTACTGAAACTCTCCTAACTCTCTCTGGTCATGTCCAGTCCAGACCTCTCAACTCCCTGCCTGTGGTGAAAGAAGAAGATGAAATGGCCCTGCAAGGAAATTAGGGGACTGCCTTCCTGTCTGTCTGTCTATGGCTTCTCTTTTCTGATGAGATCCATCATACCTTGGACTCTCCACTTCTCAGTTCCCTTTCTGCATTTGACTTCTGTTTTCTTAATACCTTTTTATGAACTTTTTTCTTTCCTGTGCCTCTGCAAGCCCTGTGCTCTATAGCTTCATAGAAACTGGAAGTTTCCTTAACTCAAGATGTGATGCTTCAGTCCATGAAACTGGTGATAAGAGGCAGATAACATAATTGTAGAAAACTAGTCCTACACCAGCAAAATTCAGAACTAAGAACTTAACAGTAGGAACTTGCACATACCTCAGGATTTCAGAGGTGTTTAGACATCGGACCATGCCTATACTATAAACTGAGGATGGCCAGACCACTCTCTGGAGCTGAACCCAACTGACATGAATAAGCCCTTGTCCATGCAGTTAAATTTTCTTAACCTACTTTAAAGTCAAAGGTCATCCAAAGGTCTAGTTAATCTACTCTTACCTGTATGAGCAATCACACGTGGAAGTGCTTAGTATTGTATCCTTTGATTTCCTGCCCAAAAGACTAAATTTTGTCTCTGTAAGGACCAGCTATCAGTAGACCCCAGCGTGTGTGAAGGATCATGCCTGTAGATAGCAGAAAGCCAAATTCACTCATGTGCTTCTGCATCCTCTTCCTGCCTGGCTGTTACTTCTGGAAAACCAATAAATTAAGGAAGAGAATATCCAGAAGAGACAGAAAGGGTATTTGGGCTGTAGAATGGCTGTTTCACCCTAAAACGCTAATATTTTTTGATCTCCTTTACATCCTTTACATCCCACAAATGTGTACATGTACTACATTCAAAAGCTGCCTATTTTGGTGTAGATTTTATCAGACCATGGTAAATTATTGCAGCATAAACTCATGAATAAATTACCATAAGAAAGCAATTTATGGGAAGGCAGCAGCACCATAGACTACCTAAACTTTTAACCAGTTAAAATATAAGTTGAGTAGTTGACCACCTTTTGATATCTGATAATCCCAGAATTATGGTCCGGGAATGGTGCAGGGTAGAAGGCTGGTGGATAACATATTGCTAAGTGGCTGCTGATATCTGGTAATGGTTTGTGAATCCATGTTCTTTAAAGTTCCTAGTCCTCTGGGACTAGACAGATATAAATCTGCCCAAGTTGCCTGGAAGAACTGGTACTGGGGTGGGAGCCACCTATCCACAAGTAAATTATTCACATCTATGGAGAAGCCTGCATCAGCACTAGTTGTCTAGACTTTATCCCTTTATCCTCGGTGGAAAATATAAAGGATGTGGCTCCTTTCATGGTAGGGGAGGTGCTAAAGTGGAAGAGGTAACTTTTGCCTTAAAAATGCTTGTATGTCTCCAACCCTGGGGAGACAGAAAGTCTGACTCAGCTGTCAGCACCTGAACTGTTAGATGCAAAAGCTATGTGTGATCAAACCCACTGGTTTGCCTTCCTTCTGAGATTAGTGTGCATCCTGTCCCCAAAAAAATTTCACTACATGATTTAGGCATTACAGTGGAAAGTATGCAAACCTTTGGGCTTCATCTCTGTGCTGTTATTTTCATCTATACAGAGTGTGGTGCTCTGCAAGTTGTCTCACTGACATTTGGCAACCCACCTTGATTTATGTGGTCATGAAATATAATGTATGTATTTGTCAACTATTTATATACTTCCAGTAAGTCAAGTCAGTAAGTCTAAGCCAGAGAGATGACCTGGGTGATTTTAATTACTGAGTGGCCATTAAATGCTTTAAAGGTTTCTGTAAATGTCAAATGCTATTAATAATTAATATATTACAATCCTTAAATACTCTCATTTCTTGGCATTATTTTACCCTACTTCGTGTTTACTATGATAGAATATTCTAACTGCCAAATGTGTCTCCGTGCACTTTTTTGAGAGTCATATATGGCAAGCCCTTTTACTGGACATAAATAAAATGGACATTAGGGTTCAGAGTATAAAATGTTACATGCAAATGGATTCATCTGTCCTCTGTCTCCCAGCATGTGGGAGAAGTACAAAGCACAAGCAGGACTTGGCCTTTGCTCTGGGTGAAAATGTACTGTCTGGGTCCACAGCCTGGGAGATCTTCAAGTATTCTGGACCGAGGCTGCTCCAGCTGATATTTTTGGGAGTTCACCTGGTTCCTACCATATTTGTCCAGGAAGCAGACAATGTGGTGGTTTTTGCTTGTTTTGTTTGATTTTGTTTTTGTTTTTTCCCCGCTCCTTTTTTTTTATATACGATGTCAGGATTTCCCATGAGGTTGTAAGAACGAATCTATACTGTTCTACTCCCATTTGTATTATCAGTTCCTAAGGTCAAAGGCTCATCTTTTATTTTAGTGTGCACACTGAAGGAATATTTTAGGTAAAAGTAACAAATTCAGGTTTGATTCGCTGCAATTTTGAAAGTGACACTACAGGCTTCCATAGCAATGGGAGATTTGGGACTACCTGCAGAGATTGGAGTCCGATGGCTCCAGGTAAGAGTTTAGACATCTCACCAAAGGCCCATACCAAATTACCACCCAAGTCAGTTCACCATCTTTCCTTAGCCTGTGACAAGTGTGAAATAGTTTGACTTAGCCTAGGTGCTGGCTGAAGAAAGCTAAACAGCAACCAATCATCCTCCATTTGCTGAGGTCACTCCCAGGTCATTGCTACATCTTGACTGATTTTAACATGGTTATCTATTTACATATGAGTCCTATACTGGGGATTTTTCATAGAAGGAGGCCATGGGAAACCTAACACATTTTCACTTGTTTTTGCAAAATTTTATACTCTGCTGGTCTTGAGCAAAGGAAAAACTTTCCACGAGAAATATATGAAATACGATCTAAATTTAAGTGTCAAGTTGCTGCTTGAGATGAGAGTTTAGTGCATCAAGCTCTGACTTCAGAAGTACTTCTGAGAAAATAAACCACTTGTAGAAGAAAAATATGAAAGATGAAGAAGTTTTCTGCCACTGAATTCTTTGTCAGAATAATTAAGGTGTGCAGAGCCAGTGTGATACTTATGAGTCGTCTCACCTGAAATGTGAGCACTGAATCTAAGATATTCCTAAGTAAATATATTCCACAAGTAAAGTTATTATAAGCTCCTTATAGCTAGTATGGCTTGTTAAAACATACCGGAAGAGGGCTGACTATGCACTAGAGTTAATTGGTATATGACCATGGTATGTTGCTGCCATTATTTACAGTGGTGAAGATGGGAAGCCAGTCCCATGGTGACTGGATGTGGACAGGACATAAGCTAAGCCTACCTTATAGTCTTGCGCTGGGCGAGCCATCTTCTGCTTGTCTGTCTCTGAAAGCAAAGATCCCCAGCATAATCCCTACGGTCCACTCCCAGCTGCAAGAGACATACCCAGTACATAAAGAATAAGAAAACCCAACCAATCAAAAAGCCCAAACCCAAGACAGGTCTGCACTGCATCGCATGAGATGTTTCTGATCCTTTTTGTGGAAGGAGACACCTCCACATTGAATGTCATTACTGCAAAATGCTTATGGACTGTGCTTATAATGTTCATGGATTAGCTCCTACCAACAGGAGCCATTTCCTCCAATAGATCCACAACTCAGGTCTTGAAATCAGCAGTTCAGCTTTATCCCATTAGTCTATCTTTTCAAAACAAAGACATGAAAATCTGCTAGCCAGTGAGCAAAACAGCTCTTTGCACAAAGCCCCAGTAGAAGTATTTTTCCTGTGTCCAAGATTTGCCAGCAGGGAGCAGGAGTTTTGCCCTCTTCCTGGCTAGTGTCAGCCCAACTTAACTGCTTTCCTGTTTTCTTTTTCCATCCTCACATACAGGTCAGCCTGCAGAAGAAAAAAAAGAAGAAGAGGAAGAAGTTCCCACTGTATCTGGAAAAGTGGACAAGGCTCAGGGAAAGAAAGATGGATCCAAAGACTCCAAGAAGAAGGATGGTGAAAAGGACCAGAAAGAAGAATCCAAGAAAGAAGGGAAGGATGGGGCCAAAAAGAAAGAAGGAGAAAAGGGAGAAAAAGGAGAAAAGGGGGAAAAGGGAGATAAGGGAGATAAGGGGGGAAAGGATGCTACTGACAAGAAACAAGGTGGTGGGAAGAAAGGTGAAAAAGAAGGTGAAGAAGCAAAATCAGGAAAGGCTGGTGGGAATGCCAAAGGCCCAGCAAAGAAGAAGTGACTTTGCTAAAAGACAGTGCTGGCAGCCTTTCGGGGAGGGCACTGTCAAACTGCTGATGGTAGAGCATTGGGAGCAGATGGGACACGCTGTCTCCACATACTCAGGCTGTTGAGTGCCACTGGATGTACAGATTTATTACCTTTTGAAGACCAAGTCACTGTTTTTTTGTCCACCAAAGGAAAACCTGGCCATTTGGCTAGAGAGTATCTTGTAAATAAAATGCACTGTGCAGAGCTACGTGATAACAGCAACTGCAACCAAACTGCAACCTGGAGTGAGAATCAGGACTTTGGATAAGCATGGAAATGCACAGAGATGAAGAGCTAAATGAGTGAGAGGACATGATTCATTTAAATTTTGTTCTTCTTGAGGACCTTAAGGAGTTTGATAAATATTGACTGGCACGCGTCTCCTCCTAAATAGGACTTGCATGTGGGTAATTTTAGGGATTAAGTACACTCTTAATGCTAAAACCCAAAGAATGTAGTTTTCTAAGTCATGTGCTCATGTGGTTTCTGAGAGGTGGCTTGGACACATGGGAGTAAGCTTTCCTTCCTTCTCAGATGCCTCTTTCTCTGAACTGTTGAAGGAAATACAAAGAGTTTCATATCTCCCAGAAGGTTTATCCACCTATTTCTCTTTTCTGATGAAAGACATAAATGAAGCAGGAGGAGGATGTGCACACAATAAAAAAAAAAAAGCAGACTGCATCTGGCTTCTGTAGGCAGTAGCTGTCCTCAGTTCATCATCCCTTCAGGAAAGGCAGAAGATGAGAAGAGCCCACAGGGATGAAGGGAAGGTGAAGATGCTCATCATGTTGCAGCAGAAACTCAGGGTCTCAGGGGAGCAGGGCTGAGCACATTCATGTCTTTGAGCTCCCCCTGAGCACTTCTGAAACCAGGGATTTTGCTACACTTTTATGTAGCTGCTATTTCTCTCACCTCCTGGAAAAAATTGAAGAGTAATTTTATCAGGAGCAGCTTTTCTCCTAGTGTGTTTTGTAAATATCTCAGCAATTTATACCTTAATATTAACAGCCATGACGTACTTAGCTAAAAAGCTAATGGGGGATAGTTTGCATGCTCTTGTAATGACTAAAGCTCTACCTAAGTCTCTGCTGGATGCACTATCTTTGACTATATACACTGGCATGTCTTTGTCTATTCTGCGGGGCAAGGAGGGAGTTACATCCAGCAGTTTATTCAGCTCAGGTCCCATGCATTAGATTTATATTAATCCAACTGCTTTCTATTCACCCTGTGGTTTCAACACAGACAGAAAGCTGATTTATCTCTGCAAAGACATTTCTCCACCTTTCCTTTCCCCTCTCTCCTCTCTTACACAACCCATCGTGGTAGAAAGTGAACCTAGCAAAATGAAGAGCATGTTCTGCTGTGTTAATGAGGTCCATCAGCTCATAAAAGGCCCCAAAAGCAGCAGAGATACTGGAGGGATGGTGTAAGACTTGAGGAGCAAGGATGGGGAAGATGTCCACGACCACAGAACTATTTACACAGAGCGTGAACGGTGACAGTTCACTGCCTCTAGGTATGATCTGCCGTGCTAGAGGAGTATGGAGAGATGTCAGGGTCAGAAATTCTACCCCTACGTGTGGACAAGTGGTTGGAGCCCTAAACCTCCATCCACTGCATTGACACCCAATGATGAGTGTGAATATGTATGTTATGGACATCTATGTTTCAGTCTGAATCTCAGTCCCACCCCTAATTTTTCAAAGGCTGATGGTGAGTGGGGATTGCAGCTTCCAGGCAGGAATAAAGGACCTGTTTTCAATTTCCTCCTCAGTCTGAGAGGTCTCAGATGTCCAGGTTTATGGCTCAGGACAACTACTGGGTTGTATGAAGACCAGGAAAAGGACTTTTATCTACTTTTTTTCATCTGGAACAAAAGGGAATACAAGAGTCACACAGCCAGCTGGGGAGGAGGCAACCCTGCAGGACCACAGGTCTGTAATCCAGCCTGTGTGTGTATGTGTATGTGCGTGTGTAACACCTGAAGAGGTACCAGTTCATATGAACACTTCACTCAGGGAGCAGGAGAGACTTCTAGTGCCAGAGTTAATGTAAGCACAGAGAAACGTGACAGCTGTCAATCATGATATCCCAGTTACCTGCTTTCTGCCGTTCTCTCCCCCTTTAAAGTTGATTTATTTAATTAGGAGTCAAAAAGAAAATAAAGGAAAAACGTTTAAAAAAATTACATTCAGGCCATACTCTTTGCCTGATTGCAGTGATGTCACTCCCTGGGACCTGCACTAGCTTGTATGAGCTCACTGTGTATTTTGAGGGGACTAAGTGGATGCTTCTGTCTTATAAACTCCAGTTCACAGGTAAAGCAGCTGTAGGATGGGATACAGCTGTGATTCAGGCAGGAAGGACTGCTTCCCTGCCCTGTGGCTGGAAATATGTTGTGGTGCTGTTAATGCTGCCATTAAAGCTCCTTAGGATGTACAGAATGAGGATGCTGACTCAATCTGTACCTATTGGGTGAAAGGGAAGAGGGACAGATCTATTCTTGATCTGAAAGCTTCAATTAAGAAAATCTGCCCCTTTATTTTGTTGTTTAGCACACTACCATAAAGTGAAATAGCACTTTTCTTAACTCCCTCCTCCCCAATACAATCACCTTCCCTCCCACACCAAAGAAAAACAAAATTAAAAAACAGAACAAAACAAAACAAAAACATCTGCTTCTGGGACTGCTGGATCCTTTGCAATGGATCTTGATTAATTTCTACCAATATCAGACCACAAATACACTCAGAGTCTTACATATCATATCACACTAGTTTGTGGTCATGTTTTACTGAAAGAAAAAACAAAAATGTTGTGTTAAAAATATTGTTTCTCCTCTGAGAAAATCAGCCCTGGGTCACCTGAGGGGATGTAGCAACTTGTTTCTAAGCTCTCAAGAGTGGCTGTGGGTGGAACAAAGGGAGTACATTACTGAGGTTACAGACTTTCAGGGAAACATTCTGCCTAACAAAGCAAAACAGGTCATAGTGTCTGAAGTGGGCATGGACGGTAATAAATTTACAGGCACGGTCCAAAACTGGTGTGCATTTTCCTCTAGTTTGTACTACAGTGGTCAGGTGGAATCTGAAAGCCAGATCATGGTGGGTGTGAAATAGCACTGCTGGAGTGGAGTACACTAACCAACAGCAGCTCGAGAGCTGATTTTTGCACCACCAGATGGAGAGATTGCATTGGCAAAATTACATCCACAGCTGCTGAAGCTTTGAGGAATGGATCATTAACGGCAAGATTGGAGATATGCTGATTTCTCTGAAAACATAAGTTCAACAACAAATCCCAGAGGCTAAAAGCAGGATTTATGACCCAAGGCTCAGACATCTAGGTAGTAATGATGGTAGCTCTGCTTTCATGACTTTAGCCTGATGGTGTGTGCATGGCAAGGGTGGCATGGAGAAGACTGAGATACTACAGAGACAGGACAAGGAAGGACTTGCAGGATCTCCTGCTCGACATATTCCATAGCTTTCCACTAGAGGGGACCTTGTTCTTCCTCTGTAGTATCTGGAGACAGTTTTAAAGGTAGTTTGTCTTATTTGTGGTGTTAAATCAACCCTGGCTTTGGTAACATCTTTTCTTCAGTCTAAAGAAGACTTTTGTGGCATTGGTTGATCTACCTGACCCATCATATCTTCTTCCAATATTGTTCTTCTACTGATTAATTAAGAGTTCAGCTGACAGTAGCTTAATACCACAAGGACATCACTGATGTAAGGGACATCACTGATGTAACACACATCAAGAAAATAGTCATTGGCTTTGGTGGATAAAACTTAAGTCAGTCTAACTAGGTGTCCCCAGGATGTTCCAGTGAGGATCGTAAGTCTGGATGAGCAAGTCAATAGGAGGTGATAGGAGCTGAAGTTTTTAAATTTTATTCCTGGTTCATTGGGAAAAGCTTTTAGTATTAATGAAAAGCAGTGAAAAAACAATCATAGGTTCTGTGCTGATCTGCCAGGAGATACGTACAAGGTGCATCTATTGCTAGGAAATGTCATGATATCTTTTCTCTACTAAATTACAGGTTTCTCCAAAGGATGAAATCCTCTGGAGTAATTACAGCTGCTCCAGAGGCTCTCAAGAAAAAATATGGTCTTTTTTTTTCCTCTCTTTGTGTACTTCCTTACACAGTAGGACTCTGAATAAAAACTGCTGTTTCTCATTGATTTCATAATACAGATCTAAATATTAGAAGTGTCTTGGCTCTGCCTTCAGAAAGCAAACTCTGTGTGCCCAGGTCCCTCTTGAGATGTAGGAAAGAAGAAATCTGGATCACTTGTGCTGTTCTGATCACCTGGTTAGACCCATGGAGAACAAACAAGATCTTCATTAGGACTGGAAGATTCCCTCTTCCACCAGGTGACATGTGGAGTCCCAAATCTGAGGTAGAGCTGTTAAAACCATGGATTTTTCCTTTCAGTAGCCAAAAATTAAAAGAGTCAGCCCCCAAGTGTTTCTAGGACTGGAGACTGAGCTTTTCATCTGTAGGTCATGTTGGCTTTTATGTTACTGATATGGGTAGCCATTTTCAAAGAGATAGGGTTTTGCAGGCTTAAAGAAACGGGTATTTTTCTGAAATAAAGAGTTGCAAAATTTCTCCTTTCCCTCTTTTTATTTTCTTCTTTTTTGGGGGGAAGGGGGCGGAGGGAGAAATTGGGGTTCTTTGACTATGCTCCTGCAAATGCACCAGCCAAATATCCTCATGAAGTGTAACTCCAAAACCCCTAAGGTGTTTTAGAGATGCATCAGACAATAACTGTGAGATAACTCCGGCTCTCTACTGTTCCTAATTTCATATGGCATTTTGCATGGCATTCCCCTCATTTCTACACTGAGACCCAAAAGACTTTTATGGTCCTAATCTTTTCTGGCTAAACAAAATACATCTTCTAAATTTTCTGAGTCCTTGATGTACTGACTTCCTTAGTCTGGACTCCTGCAGACTGAGAAGTGTCATGCAGGGTAACTGGGGCACAAAGGCAATCTGCTTAATGTCAGAAGCAAAATATGGGACAATAGATGGGACCTGAGCACTGATCTTGTGAAAGAGGGCTTTGTGCACATTTCCTTCTTAAGATGCT